TTTATGTCTCCCTAATGGGCAAAATTAATTAGACTGTGAATACAAAGTTGCATTGTACTGTCTAGAGAAGTTATACAATATGTGAATCATCCAAGGAGGTGGGCTAAAACTGTCCGGTCCTATTACAGCTCGGAGCAATACTGCACACGCATAGGATTCATAGTCCGATATTCATATCTGTAAAAAAAGGCTGTAGTTGTGAAGAAAGTGCGTAATATTTCGAAAAATTTCGATATTCTTTAAATTGTTGAGTTTATTTACATTGTATTTGCATATCGTACTTTAGGGTTCAAAATATTCTTCAGATTTATTATGTACCTATAATTAATAAACCCGTATATTATTTTGTATTTGTACTTATAATTAATAAACCCATAATAATGAATAACTTTAAAGAACATAAAAAATCTATTGATAATACTTTCCTTTGGTTTCATTATTTGTATGATAAAAAGAGTATGGTGGCACAATATAAAAACTTACAATGTTACTGAAGTGAATGAAGTACAAGTGGACTCCTTACACATTTAAAAAGAAACATGATACAAATTTGTTAAAGAGGAAAGAATCTAATTGCAATGAAGATACAAATTTAAGCACAGTTTCTAAGCCCAGACCATCAGAGATTTTAGATTATTTTGAACAAAAAGATTATTTGGATGAAATTATAAGTAAAATGAAAGCATTAGATGGTTTGCCATTTTGAGTGTTTTGCACTTCTACTGAATTAAGAAAGTCACTATCAACATCGATTAACACTATAAGGAATTTTTATAAACTACAGTGTTCACAATTCTTTGAAACACGAGTTAATACCATTAAAAGTTAATGGTGAAATATTTAGTCTTGCATTTGATGAATGGGCAAGGTGTAAGAAATAGATGTTATTTGAATATAAATATTCATTCAGAAAAATTTTTTTGAAATATAGGACTTGCACATGTCTCGGGAAGTATTCCAACTGAAAAATGTGTGGAAGTGCTTAAATCTAAATTAGGAAAACATGGATTATCCCTGAAAGAAGATATTGTATCCATAACAACTGTTGAAGCTACGGTTATGAAAAAAAGTTGGAAAGTTGATTGGTGCAAATCAGCAATTGTGCTATGCTCATGGAATTAATTCAGTTAGGAATAATAGATGTATTATACCAAAAAAAATAAAGAACAGAAGAACCGAAATACAATGCATATAGAAACTTCTGATTCCGACTTTGGAAAGAGTGATACTGACAATGTAATTGTTGAAGATACTGCTAAGGAGGATGAAATATTAATTCATCAAGAATTGCTCCCTATAATTAATAAAGTTCAAAAAATCGTTAATATATTTAAATGTTCCCCTGTAAAAAATTCCTTATTACAAATATATATACTAACTGAAAATAAAACAGAACATATGTTAATATTAGATTCTAAAACACATTGGAACAGTTTACTCCTAATGATGGAATAATTTTTGAAACTGAAAAATCTAATCCAAAAAGCAACAGTCGACTTAAACCTGCAAATTAATTTTTCTGATAGTGAATTCGACTTAATATCCAGAACTGTACCAGCTCTACTTCCAATAAAACTGGCTGTGGAGGCATTATATTGGAGAGATTTTAATTTATTAACAGCTAATGCAACAATAAATTTCATGTTGCAGTCACTAAAAAAACAGCACACGATCTGAAGAAAGAAAGGCATACCTGAAATAGAAAATGTCTTGTGGTATTTACATAATTATAATGATTTTAAACATGAAAATGAAAAAGAAGAAAAGAGACTAAACAAAATTTGATCAAGTTTATGGTAAATTTTCTTTAAAATTTTTATTGACAAACCTATCTACTTCGGAAGAATTTAATACAGTTATCGAAGATGATGATGACACTAATGTGGATATCGACAGTGAAAACGAATTGTCTATTGAACAAAAATTAGAATTAGCAATAACTAAAAGAATTTCAACAAATCAAAATACAATACAGAAATCAGTTATATCCAAAAACCATCCAATAAAAAATCTATTTATTTGAACTTGAGGAATATGGAGATAAATACTGCATAGATATCGCATTGCTAACAGTACCACCAACTAGCAAAGGCGTTGAAAGAGCGTTTTCGACAGCTGGTAATATTTGACGAGAAATTATGTTCCAGGCTTAATGATGGTACAATTGATGAATTATGTTTTTTAAGATCACATTTCAAATATTTGTAATAGTACCACAAATTGAATAATAATATTTACACTTTTTTATGATTTAAATACATAAGATGTTCCTCGCTTCTCCACTTTTTTGTGATTCTTTTCCGGTATTAAGGTCTAAAAAGTATCGAATACCGGTATTGAACTTTTGGTCAGAAATTGCAATTGCTAGTGGTGCTCGAGCGCATTTTGCAATTAACCCTAACATGCAAAAATTCGTATAAAACTTTCTTTTTATCTGAGTATATATATATTCTCATATATGTTATTTAAATGGTATTTTTTAGAACATGAACAGAAAACCCTAATACTTAAAATAAAAATTCAGAATGAGTGAAATATTATTAATAATGATTATATTCCCGTATTTAAATATCAGTGTTTATTATATCATATGATAAATTTTTATATGGTATTTATATTTAGCTATAAAACATTTAAGCTACATGCACTGCATGAAATTATGAACATGCATTATGCACTTTACTTTCGTAGAATAAAAGGATAAATAATATTCATCACAACAATGCTAACAATCTAGAGGCTCTATTCAGTACATTTTCAATGCATTCTGACCTAATTTTTGCGCATTTAAAATCTGAAATAAAATGTTCCATATTAAATATAATACAGTCGGCTTATGGAGGGAAACTGAATTGTATCATATATGATAAGCTGGGAGCAGAAAAGTTAAAGCATTAATTAGACGGGCATGTATATATTCAACCATAGCACTTTCTTGTTCCAAACAAAAAGAAAAGCTCATAAATTAGATAAATTTAACAAAGGACTCATGCATACACCCCTAAAGCTTACTACTGATATATGCATCAAAGATAGAATTTTCTTCAATACATTCAAGTTTGAATTTTTTCATTAAAAAAATACACAACAAATAGCTACAGTGTGTATCAGAAATGATTTTTATAGTATGCAGCATAACATCATAGGCTTCATTTCTATGCTATGTAGATTTCCCCTTTCCAGGTATTAATTTCCCTCCCCCTTTGTATATTTGTGAACTCTTCTAATATAGAAATTGTCCTTCCCGTGTAAAGACTAAACATATTGCAAATAACAGTGCAAAACATAATACAGTCAAAAGTCGTTAATTCGGACACCCATAATCCGGACCTCAAAACTACAAACTTTCTGCGCATGCGTCATGAATATGCGTGTGCGCATGCGCAAAATACGTTTACGGATGCTCGTTTAATGTATAACGGACATTGTAAGCTAAGCTAAAATTACCTAATTCAGTTAATGTTGCAGATTGTGTTGTTCCTTAATCTTCGAATTGCATTCGGCTTATTATTTTTTGCAGAGTGTTAGAGCAATTTTATAAAAGTAAGCTTGAACTTTCGATTACGTCAAATAGAATTTCTGGTATATATTTACTAATATGTAAAGGATCTACAAAGCGAAAGTATGTTTCAAAGTCCATTAAACGAAAAGTGGAATTGCTGCAAAAAATGGATAAAGGCATATCCTTTGTTTATCTAAACTTTAACGTTTATTTATCTAAACTTTGTTTATCTGTAACGCCGCGGTGCGCAATGAATTGGAAGTTGATTTGTCAGCACTATCCTTATCTTCAGGGCAGATGTTTTTACTTTATTTGGCTTATAATTCCTTACTAAATGTAGTATTTCATCTCGATGTACTCCGTCTTTGATATGATTTAAATCAAATTCCTCATCATTAGAATTTGCTTCCGATAGCGAAGAAAGTGACAGAGGTTATTGAAAACGACAAATTAGTCTGTATTCTCGACACAGCAATTATAGGACTTGAACAGCGGAACTTTGTAACTGAACAAGAAATTATGTCTGTTTATAGAATTAAAGAGAATGTATTATCGCATAAAATATGAAGCAACTTAAACAACTTACACTGAAAGAAATGTTTAATAAACAAATAAATATTAAGCTTTTTATTTTTTGTAAATTTTGATACCCTTTAAACAACTTACACTGAAAGAAATGTTTAATAAACAAATAAATATTAAGCTTTTTATTTTTTGTAAATTTTGATACCCTTTAGATCATAATTGTTCTTTATTTCATAAATTACGGTTTCATATTTTTAATTTTATAATTTCTGCATGCCATCTTACCAGATTTAAACTGATGATCTATAATCCGGAAAAATCGATAATCCGGAATCGCCGAAGTCCCGACGAGTCCGGATTAACGACTTTTGACTGTATCAGGTCCTTGTATAGCATATTGTCCCAAGTAAAGGAACTATATGAAATTTTACATTTATTGTTTATTATTTACTTATTGTAAGTATTAGCATTTACTAACTTGCCAGAGATTTTCATTGCAGATAAATTTTATAAATGCATTTTGTTCATTCTGGGCATTATATAATTTAACTCTTTGCATATGTTATATACCACAGAAAGAAAAATTCCACAGTAACTAACATCTTCCATAAATTTAGCATTTTGTGTCACTGCTATGATAGATTTGCTTAATTTGCTGTACCTTTATTGCTCTATTTTTTATTGTGTAAATTACACGATGCAAATTTATCAACAACAGAAAGGGAGGTTATAATAGTGACGTAAACTTAGTTAAGGAGATATATAAGAACTGAATGATCTTAAGCTTGTCATTTCGATAAAGGTCTTTGTGCATTATAATACAGTTGCAATTTTTTTAACATAGCATTCATATTACAGGTAGTGCAGTGACTGATATTGGAGCTAAAGAACAATCCTCTGTAGTTGATATAAGAATGATATAAGGGTATTATAATACAGTTGCAATTTTTTTAACATAGCATTCATATTACAGGTAGTGCAGTGACTGATATTGGAGCTAAAGAACAATCCTCTGTAGTTGTTGAAACAGTTGCAAAACAAGCCAAGCAAAAAGCTGAGAGCTTACCTAGGTTTAAATCTGATGCTAATAAAGCAACATGCAAAGGTATTGGACTAAAGCGAGGTCATGCAAACAAACCTAGCCAATTTACTGTTAATTGTGCAGATGCAGGTATGTATATTTTGAGACTTTTTATTTCAGTATCTATGCAGTGTTTGTTAATTCCTTAGCCTTAATAGCAAAGTTAAAGAAAAACTGGTTCATTACTAAAAGATTCAGATTTTTAGTACTGAAGTGAACACATTTTTTCAGATATTACTTTTTTATTATTTTCGTTTTTATCACCGAGTTATGATTTGACATACACACCCAATATTTAAAATGCAACCCAAAAAGAAGGGGCCCAAAAATTATGAAAATTTCAGGGTAGATGGACGTCACCGAGTTATGTGAATGATGTAAAATGTGCAACTTTTCAGCCCATATAAGGGAAAGAATGATATAAGGGAAGGAACCTGCAGAACATTTAATTTCCGTGCCATTTATTCTGCTAGGGAAAGCATTATAGAAAATTTGTTCTTGTCTCAAAGGACGCATGTAATAGCAGAGAATGCCATGCCGTTGTCAATGGAGGCAGTTCCAGCAGACAGATAATTTTATAATGGGCATGGTCATCGGACTGAAAAGGGCAGGTTGGTCCATATGGCAAATCTCAGCTGATACACACCTGGACATGTCCGCAGTGCTCCAGCTGTGGCAACAATGGTTGGAACAAGGAAATGTGACAAGTTCGAGGGATGCGACTCCGGCAAGAATGATGTCAGCACGCATGGATGGATGCATCCACTGACAAGTGGTGGTGCACCAGCAAGCCACTTTTACCTCCAGTCTGCAGCATGTTCAAGACACCCTGGATATTCTCATATCGACCAGAATCATTTGCTGTCGATTGGTGGCTAGTGGCCTGCACTTATAGCATCCGTAAAGAAGACTACCATTGATCCTCCATCATGGATGCCAATGTCTTCAATGGTGCCGAGCGTGAGCGATGTGGATAACGAAATGGCACAGGGTCGTATTCTCAGGTGAGTCCCGCTTCTGTTTCTCCAATGATAATCGCTGTGTACATGTGTGGTATCAATGTGGAGACAAGTCCAATCCAGCAGCAATTGTGGAACATCCCACCATGCGAAAACATGGCATCATGATTTGGCGTGCAATTGCGTACGATTCCAGGTTACCTGTAGTTTGTATTCAAGGCACTGTGATGCCCCAACGATACGTGGATGATGTGCTGTGGCCGATGCGACTTCCCTATCTTCAGGGCATGCTCAGTATCCTTTATCAGCAGGTTAATGCGTGACCACATACTGCTCGCATTAGCAAACGTACTCTGCAAGATGTGCAGATGCTACCCTGTCCACCATTCTCTCATGATCTTCCGCAAATGGAATATATGTGGGATGTGATTGGATGCCATTTGCAGACCTAGCCATTGTCGCATTCAGAAGATGAACTGTGGCAAATGGGTTAACAAGGAATGGAGAGCCACTTCTTAGGACACCATCCGTAGTCTCATTGACTCTGTACCTAGATGTGTTGCTTCATGTATCACCATCCAAGGTGGTTCTACAATCTACTGAGCCAACGCTGTTCTCGCTCTGTATTGTGCATATCATTTTGAAATATCACTTATTATTTGTTGTTGTCTCTCTCTGTTTGCTGAGTTTCATCATTTTCTGGCCATTCCTTCTTGGTGTTGCATCTTCAATGTTGGATAGTGAATACCTGTGAATGAGAAAAAGTTATTGATGTTGTAATCTATAAGAAAAGAAAATTAAGAATGGAAAAAGGAATAATTAAATAGTATTCTCATTTTTTTGTTGGAGAATGAAAAATGCATATTTTGTATATGCTATAAAATGAAAAAAGTGTGATTTCTTGCTCAAAAATGAGGTTTAATAAGGTTTATTATTCCCATAATTGAAAGCAGTATTGCATACTTCTGAGGTTATAGTGTGAATGAGTTTATTATTGAGGGATTGGAAAATTTTCTCCTACTCTTTTAGATCCCACTCTTACATACTCCTTAACAACTGTTGAAAATGTATGTGGGAGTGATAAGTGACAAGCAGCCCTTCTTCCTGGTATGTCCCAAACATGTTTAATTTCGATTCATGTTTGGGAAACATGCTACCCAATCCATTTGAAAGATTTCTTCATTGAAAAGGAAGTTGTTCAGTAGCCAAGCATAATGTTTTCCAGGTGTTATCATTCATGAGAATGAATTCATATTTGATTGCTGCAGCATAAGAAACAACAAAATGTCTAAGGATCTTATTCCTATATCACTGAGCCATCAGTGATCCATCTTCTGTTGATGTTTGTTACAGTACAGCCATCAATAGAGGCATCAGCCCAGACTTTAACTCTTGACTGCTCTAAAAATATGACAAATGCAAGTTTATTAAGATAAACTACCCATTATCAGATTGTAAATTAAAGCAGGACTCATATGAGAAGAGAATATTGCTTCATTCAGTTCATCTCCATCTGAGGTGCAGTAGAGCCCACTTTCTTTGTGCAGCACAAAAGCCCACTATTAAAGAAATACAAAGCGTAAGTTTGTAAGCATACAAATCGACACTTTTGGAGTTTCAAATAATTTGAATTAAAACACTGATGACGGTAATTCTGAGCAGATGCTATTGCCACAAAAGTGTTTATACTGCAGTTTCTTCTGGCTTTTGATGCTAAATCCCGGTTCTGTTTTGTGTTGTTGCATGCTGTTCATGCAACATTTATAAAAAGCAATTTCATAGTCTGGAATTGGCACTTTAGGACTGGCTTCCATTGCAATGGGTTATTTTTGCTAGCTTCTAAATGACCAGTGGCCCTCTAGTCTACTGTTACAACTCGGGCATGTTGTTGAGACATTGTCTTCACTGATATGAAACATTCAATTCATGTTAGTACTTTACAATTTTCTGCTACATAAAAAATATTGTAGGTCACTTTTTATAAATATCTTATACTAATAAGTATTAAAAACATATATTTTTCAGCATCATGGATAAAATCTGCATATTCTGAAATTTTTTAATCTGATAACTTTCAGTTTTAATTTTTGTTAAAAATAGTCAATTGTATGGCTATAAATGTCATACCAAGTTATAAATTTTCGTATTATTTTGAGCAGTGTGAAATTTTTGGAATAATCATAATTTGAACTCCAAATAAAAATGCTTATTGAATCTATCGTTTTCATTGATTTTATTTTATCATGCTTATGTGTTTTTTCTTTGTAACACTTTTTAAGAGAAAAAAAGTCGAAGTTTTGTAAAAAATCCATTTACTCCCATACAGCTTAATTAATGGAATTTGAAACACACTGAATTCCTTAAATCAGAATTCCTAGATAACTTTAATGATAATTTTAAGTTTCTTCTCTTAAGGCAATGGTATATACGTAACGTATTCAGAAACTAAGTACCGTTTCATTCTAGCGTCATCGCAGCGCTGTGGTAGGCGTCCCACGCATGGTCACTAGTCTTTCTTGTTTACTGACTTTCAATTGTCGCCATTTTGGTTGCTCTATGTTGTGTTTTCAGTTTGCTGTGCACATTCAAAATGTTTAAGACAATTAGTTCTCTCTCTGACTGTGAGATTCGTGTCATGATTAAATTTTTGAACGCGAGGAATGTTAAACCGGCCGAAATTTATCGTCAAGTGACAGAAGTTTACGGTGAATACACGATAAGTGATGGAATGGTGAGAAAGTGGGTAGAATGTTTAATGCAGGTCGAACAAATGTCCATGCCGAGGCTCGGAGTGGTCGGCCTTCTGTTGTCACCGATGATTTGGTAAGGAAAGTTGATGAAGCAATTCATGAGAACAGACGCTTCACAATGAAAACTCTTTCAGAGGCACTTCCACAAATTTCACGTACTGTTTTGTTCGAAATTGTGTCTGACCGCTTGAATTATCGCAAACTGTGTTCCCGATGGGTTCCCAAAATGCTCACTGATGTTCACAAAACAAAGCGATCTGGTAGTGCCCTGACATTTCTCACGTGGTACAGTGATGAGGGAGAAAACTTTTTAAACCAAATTGTGACAGGTGATGAAACTTGGGTGTGTCATTTCACATCAGAATCGAAACAACAATCGATGGAGTGGAGACACACTCATTCTCTGTAAAAACAAAAGTTCAAAGTGACAATGATGAAAATGTCATCACAAAAAATTCATGTGCACTGTCTTCTGGGATAGGAAAGGCGTTTTGCTTACTGAATTTCTTCCCAGAGATGAAACCATTAATGCAGCACGATATTGTGAGACTTTAACAAAACTCAGGCGTGCCATTCAAAACAAATGAAGAGGAAGGCTCAGTAAAGGAATTATGTTGCTCCATGACAATGCTCGGCCCCATACTGCTGGTGTCACTCAATCGTTAATTCAACAGTTTCATTGGGAGCAGTTCGATCACCCGCCTTACAGCCCGGACTTGCCTGCACAGCTTGCACGTGAAGCGCGAGCTTGGTGGCAAGCGCTTTGGATCTGATGATGACACGAAAAATGCTGTGGAGTCGTGGTTATCGAAACTGGTGGGAAGTTTCTTTGACAATGGTATACAAAAACTGGTCACCCACTATGACAGGTGTTTGATCATTGGCGGAAACTATGCTGAAAAATAGTTTAAGAAAAATAGTTTAATGTATTTTCATGTAAAAATAAAATTGGATTCGAAAAATATTGTTTTAACTATTTTTTTTTTCAAAACGGTACTTAGTTTCCGAATACGCCTCGTATATATATATATATTTTCCCTCAGCACAGAAATAATGACAGATTAAGAGTTTTCACATATACACTGTGGTTGGAGGAGGAATATCTACTAAACAATCATACATTGGTTTTATTAAACCATTTTCCATAATCCATTTTTTAATTTAATTTTTGCTGCATAATAAATTTGTAAAACTAAATAAAAATTGAACTCCTGTGTAATAATCACTGCTGGGAAAGTACCGTAATTTCCCAGAAGAAAGACCGCATCAGCATAAATGCCAGAAATGAGAAAATGGCAAAAAAAATTTTTAATTATGCAGAAACACTGAATCAGCGTAAATGCCGCAATAGATTAAATAACGCGTGACATTGTCGGGGACCGTATAGATGCAAAATCTTGACCTATGTCCTGCTATATGACATATCAGTTAAGAAAAATGCATGATATGAAACTATAACTCAAAAATAAATAAAAGGTAAGAATTGTTGAAAATATATTTATGTTCACAAATATACTTATATTTACCCACTAAAGAAGTCCATATTTGTCATATTCGTACTATATTATAAAAAATGTTGCAATAATGAGATATTAAATTTGAATGAAAAAAGAAAATTTTAAATTTTACTTACAAAGGAATTACAGCAAACTGTACATCAAATGAAGCCATCAAAATCTGATTCTTCACTATCTGAATTAAAAAGATTTAGTAAATCTTGATCTAAGTCTTTCAGATCATCACATTCATCCTCTTGGTTTACAGTCTCTTTAGCTGAGGATATAATTCAGCTTCTTTGAATGCTGCTATTATTGACGATGTTTCACTGATTTCTATGCACTTCCTACCCACTTTGCAACTTCTTCATAAGATGCTCTATGCATTTTGCCGCTTTTGGTGTACGTATGCAAATCTTCACTTATCCAACACTCCCACTGCTTTCGGACTTCAGCTTTGAAGGATTTATTACCTGACAAATCTAATGGTTGTAAGATTTTTGTCAAACCACCAGGAATTATTGCTATGGTCATAGACAGTTTTTGATATTTTGGTTTTCACTGACTGAGTGAGCATGCATGGAATCCATTATTAGCTTGTCACCATTTGCGGCACAAGCTAACACACATGTAAATGATGTTCTTTCATGCCGCATCATAAGCACAGATACAGTTTTTGCACCAGTTTCATCAATAGTTCTGTTTGCAGGAGAGTTTAAAGCTAAGGGCGTTTCATCTATATTTATTATCTGCGATGGAAAAAGTTTTTTTTTTTTTTTGTCAATATCTGTCGCATATTTTAGAAAAGATGCTTTATTATCCTGCCAGTCCATTGGTAATTGATGTTGGACTATTGTTCTAGTACCCGCAGAAATATTTTTTCTTTTCATAACTCTGCTACACCAGCAAAGCCCTGCTTTGAAATCATTTATGTTCATTTGTTTTGCCATAAATAAGCAAATTTTTACAGTCAAAATTGCCATTCCCTTTCCTTGTTGCTCCTTTATCCAGTTTGCAAGGTCGTCCTCTAGATTCGGCCACCTTGCAATACCACTTCTTTGGGCTCTTTTCTGTTGTGGCATACTTTTAAGTTTTTTTTTCAGTTCTCCAACATCGAATGCATCTCTTGTCGACTTAAACTTTTGAGCTGCTGCTCTATTTCCAATTTGTTCAGCACGTGAAATTACATTTAGCTTAAAAACAGCAGTATAGCTTCTGGGCTGTTTAGGTGCCCATTTTCAAAAAATTTCCGCTCCTTTCTTACTTAAAAGCTATCCAACAAGTACTTTACCCAAACTGATGGGATCTGTATTTGGCAGAATGCGAAGAAAAATCAATTCGTGCTGAAGGGGAAATATGTCAGAATTCGTTATTGCAACGCAGGTGATGTCCGCCTTTGAAAAAAATTGCAGTAGATTTACAGTGGAAAAGGCAGGGGTGGGGAGAGGATAGGTCCTGGAAGATTCATTGAATAGCAGAGAAAAGAGACAATTCAAACTAATGAGAATGCTAATTTGAAAGAGGGAAGAACGTCTGAGATCCCATTTAAGGTGAATAAGGCATGTAGGTCCATTCAAAGGAAAGAATGTAAACAAAATAAAGTTAGGCAGAAAGCAAGTGAGTGGTCTTTTGTGTGGGAACAGCACCAATCTATATATAGTAACAAGGTCATTCAAACTAAGCACAATGACATCATAGGAAATATTCTGTTTTAGTGCACCTAAGCACCGCATGGGTAGAAACGCCGCACCCGCTGAAAATTTTAAGTTTTAAACACATAAACGCTGGGTTGTTTCTTCTGGAAATTATGGTAATTTCATTACATGTTTAGAAATAATAGAAAATGGGAATTGTGTTAAAGATAAAAGTTTTTAAAAACTGCACACAAATCAATCTAATAGTTTTATGACATTTGTGTGGTGTTTCATATTACTGTATAAATGAATCATATCCAACAAAGTGTAACTTTCAATTGAATAGATTAATGCTATCAGAAATTTTTTAATATTTATGCCTTTAATATTAAAATTTATTCATTATGTGTATTAATTTCAATAAGTATATTTTAATTAAATTGTATATTTTAATTTTGTAATATATTAATTTCAATAAGTATATTTGAAACTAAATATATAAAATTTTGGGGCCTATTCTAAAAGTAATCAATGAAATAGTAACTTGTTACTTCTAGTGTTAGTTATTTCATGAACTGTATATTATTTTAAATAGCATCTTCTTTGTATTATATTCCAAACCTTTAATTTCTAGGAAAAAATATTTTGTACTGTGCTGTATATGGGCCTAAAGGTCCATGTGATGAAGTACATGTTAAGCACATAGGACGAGATATGTACCAAGTGAGTTACACAGCAAAAGAAAGAGGTGATCATATTATCATTGTGAAGTATGGTGATGATCACATCCCTGGAAGTCCATTTAAAGTAGAAGTAGTATAGTTTTATAAAAATAAAGAGAGGACTGAAACTTTTTTTTTTTTTTTTCAAACTTCGGTATTGTTTTTTCTTCAGGCTCGAAGTTTGAATAGATCTGTTCTTTTTTTTTTTTTTTGTTTTTAATTAATGTTGCCAAATGATTCATTGTTAGGGGGGATTTGCTCATTGAGTAGGTGTACTGTTGTCTTCCATACTTTTCCTTCAAGTGGAGACTGACCATGTATGTCATGTTTAGAATATTGATATTTTTTTCCTGTAATTCAGAAAGATAATCTTTCAATTTCCATGGCTGCTGCATTATGCATTGGAATATTATATTACTTGAATCTTTTAGCATTGAAAGCTTTTTTATTGTCTTTTATGAAATATGGGAAACAAATATTCTAAAGTCTTAATTGATGCATCGATAATTATGTTTTGTGTAAAAACATGTCTGAATGATTATGCATCTCAAATCATATTGAAATTACATATTCATATTTGAATTCTTTAGTCATATCTAAAAGAAAAAAAAAATCGCATTTTAAAAAATTTATCTATTAAAATATTAACCCTACCTTGTACTTAAAATTATTATTTGTGATGTTCAAATAATGGGAAAATATTTATATTTAATTGTTCTAAAAGTCTCATATTTCTGTGTATTCTTGTCATTTGTTATGTTCCTAATGAAGTAAAAACTTGTATTCTAAAATTTATTTTTGAATACGCATGATTAGGAATTGTCAATTTTGCTTATGCTTTTTTGCTAATGAAAATTTTTGTGCTTTATTTATTTTAAATGATATTCTTATATATAATTATAGGATGTATTTAAAAGCAATTTTCTCCAAATGTCTGAGCTTTCAGAACCTGTGTCAAATGTTTGTCCCAAATTGTATAATTAAAGGATCAAATAAAATTCTTGCAATTTACATTCAGAAAATTCTGTTTTGAATTTTGATATGCAGATCTACTATGGAATACACTTACATTTTATAATATAGCATATAGCACATATTACTACTTCAGTGGTTGCCATATTAAAAAAAAAAAAATCCGAAAGGTTTCAGATTTTAATCTACATTCAAAGGGGTGATTTTTTAATGTTTTGTGTTTTACCTTTATTTATTAAATATCATGTTCTGTGTACTAGATGTTATAGCAGTCCCATATGCAAAGTTTTAATGTTATATGGCTAATCATTTTTCAGTTGTGTGTGATACATACATTCGTACGTACAGATGTAACAAAATAATCACTTTTGAATACATTTTGCAAAAAAGCCGTCCTTTAATTAAGACACAATAACAAGCTGAAAAAATACTTATTCAGAAGTCAAACAACAAAAATCAGCGTTATATTTTCAAAAAAAAATTTTCAAAATTTTTGCAGGACTAGTTTCGATGGTTTTTACCAATCCACCATCCTCAGGTGCAAAACCGTAAATGAACAAGATAGGAAATAATGACTAGATAAGATAAGAAAGGCTGGACAGAAATAAGCAAGTGGCGCCATCTGTTGATGAAACTAGAACTAAAACATAATTTCTTTAAAGGCCGAAGGCAAAGATGGATTGGAATTAAGATCGTTAACTAGAATAGAAAGATTTTTTTTTAATATAAAATGCCTCTAGAAAATCCAATTCTCCAATGGAAGATGTTTTTTGAATAATTGATTTATAGCTAATTAAGCTATAAATTAATTAGCTATAAATCAATTATTCAAAATTAATTAGCTATAAAGTTGCACATATTTTGCAGAAATTTAACTTTCGGGTTGTGTATTCTCCCATCAATAAAATTCAGAGTTCCATACTCAAGGACCCCATTCCGGATATGAATTCCTGGGGTATTTATAGGATTCCTTGCCAGTGGGGTTTAACTTACATTGGCCAAACTAAGAGAGCCTTAAAATTTCGTGTCAAGGAACATGAGGCATATCTTAGAAAAAAGGAAACACAGAAGTCTTCTGTTGCGCAACATTGTTGGTTCGAAAATCACACTTTCAATTTTTCTGCTGCCAAAATTTTTCATAAAACATCTTCCATTGGGGAACTGGATTTTCTAGAGGCATTTCACATTCAAAAAAATCTTTCTGTTCTAGTTAAGGATCCTAATTCCAATTCGTCTTTACCTTCGGCGTTTAAAGAAATTATGTTTTAGTTCTGGTTTCATCAACAGATGGCGCCACTTGCTTATTCCTGTCCAGGCTTTCTTATCTTATGTAGTCATTATTTCCTATCTTGTTCTTGCAGCTGTGGATGGTGGTTCGGTAAAAACCATCGAAACTAATCCTGCAAAAATTTTGAAAATAAAACGCTGATTTTTGTTGTTTGACTTCTGAATCAGTAAGCCGTCCTTTATTTTGTCCGTACAGACATTGCACAAAAAAAAAAAAAAAAAAAAAAAAAAAAAAAATCATTCAAATGGATTCATGAACAGTCAGAATGGATCTATGAAACCGTAATCTATGAAATCTATGATCGTAATCTATTAAATAAAGAGCATTTGTGATCTAAAGGGTATCAAAATTTACCAAAAAAAAGCTTACTATTTGTTTACTTTATTAAACATTTTTTTCAATGTAAGTTGTTTAAGTTGCTTCGTTTTATGTGCTAATACTTTCTCTTTAATTCTATAAACAGACATAATTTCTTGTTCAGTTACAAAGTTCCGCTGTTCCAAGTCCTATAATTGCTGTGTCGAGAATACCGACTAATTTGTCAATCGAAGTTTTTTCGTTTTCAATGACCTCTCTGTCATTTTCTTCACTATCGGAAGCGGTACATCAAAACATGCTTTTGCTTTGTAGGTGCTTTGCCAGCTCCATAATCGGAAACTCATTTTGACATAATCGAAAGTTCAAGCTTACTTTTTATAAAATTGCTTGAACAGTCTGCAAAAAATAATAAGCCTGATCCAATTAGAAGATTAAGGAACAATGCAAACTGCAACATTAACTGAAATAGATAATTTTAGCCTAGCTTATACCGTCCGTTATACATTAAACGCGTATGCGTAAACGTATTATGCGCATGCATAAATGCGTTATGCGTTTACACATGCACAGAAGGTTTGTAGCTCTGAGGTCCTGGTTATAGATCATTCCGGATTATGGACGTCCGGATTAAAGACTTTTGACTGTACTATGAATGTTGTCACTAAATTCAGGTATTAAATTCAGAGAAGTACTTTTCTAGATAGCAGTTATAAGAGAAGAAATTGAAGCAGAATCCTCATAACTCATCTTCGAGGTGTTGTTTACCCTCATGACAATGCTCGGCCCCACATTTCAACAAATGTTGAACAAAGACTTACTGAGTATAGCTTAGAGGTTTTCTGTAACCCTTGACCCCCAATATTCACCAGACCATATATCTCTTTGGGTACTTCAAAATTCTGAATGATCTGTAATTCACTTTTTTTGGGGAGGGGAGATTGTCAAACAGTATGCCAATAATGTCCTTACGAATAAAGCTAATGATGTTTTTTGAAAAGGAATCTTCTATCTACAGGAGAAGTGGCAAAATGCCATAAAGTAAAATTGTGCTTATATAATCTAGCGACAGTTTGTTTTTGTACTGCTTTATTTTTATTTGTTGTCGAAAACTGGACGACCCAGTACTTCCAAAGGGTACTTTTTAAATATTTACCATTATGAAAATTCTGCTTCTTCAGTGGCTTGACAGCCCTGCCCTGGGCTTCTACGGAAGTCTTCTCCAGGCATCTTTATTCTTGGCTACTGTTTTCCAGTTTTTAACCTTTAAAATATTAAGACCTTTTTTGACACAATGAATTCATCTTAACGGGTGTGTGCCCGAGGTCTATTTCCCCATGGGCTTTATCAGAAAGATTTGCTTTCGGCAAGGATTTTCATTCATTCTAGCCAGATGGCTAGCTCATTTAAGTCTCTGTAATTTGACCAGGTTGTTTGTAAATTTTTAGAGTTCTAAATTAGATCTTCTCTATGATCCATTCACTTGGACACACACCACAAAGAATGCAATGCAAGATCTTTCGCTCAAAAATTCCCAGAGCTTCCTCATCACATAAAGTCAAAGCCCAAGTCTCTGATGCATAAGTCAAGACACATCTTGTAAGACTTTTGTAAAGAAGCAGTTTAGTCCTTAATTTAAGAAAGCTGGATTTTGAATAACTTCTTTTCATATTGTTCATTACGAAATGAATGCACAAGTCCGATGAAAAATGAACAAAAATTTATTATTATCACAACAAAAATGCTTAAATTTTCTCAAAATATCATGCAGTATTACAATATCTCACAGTAGTTATCTTTTAACTACTCAAATGTCCAATAGAACGTAATTCAAAACAGCTAAAGAAACGCTAATCCGCGAATTCGCTACAATCAACAAGAGCAGTTTTCTAAACAACAACAAACTAAGCAACTACTACAAACTGAGATGTTTTCCTCCTTTTATAAGATTTTAAAATCACGCGCTAGAATTTTCCAGTACTTTCTCGAAATCAAAAAGATATTTATTTATTATTTAATGCACGCGCTCTTGTATTTTCAATTTTCCGGCTTAGCTTTTTCTTTTAATATTCGTCACGCGCTGCACTGCGCGAGAAATAAAACCATTTAATTTATAATTGAACTAACATTAGCTTTTTAAATACCAAATTCGTAACACTGCCCCCTTCCCAAGGACTGCACGTTCCGGGCAGTACAATCCCTGGACAGGAAGCTAAACTTACAACTGTGGCATAAATGCATTAATAAGCATTACATTACAATAATAAACAACATGAACAATTAATGCAATAAATAAAATAAATCAAATTCTATCAAATACAAATCAAATTCAAATCAAATACTAAATGCAAATCAAATACTAAATACAAATCAAATACACATTTAAAAACAAAAGGTCCATGGTCTTATACTATTTACAATTATTTACATTACGTACTATGGCCATAGTGATGAGCTAACCTGTCGTAATGAACGACTTTAGGTTTAGAGTTCGAAGACTTACGAATCCGAACCACGACGTCATTCAGCCTGTTTAGGACTGTGTACGGGCCATCCCAAGGTGACTGTAATTTCGGACAAAGTCCTTTCCGTCGAGTCGGATTCCACAACCACACCTTGTCTCCTTCGTGGAATTGATGTTCAGTAGCTCTTGTGTCGTATCGGGTCTTCATCTTCTCCGTCGCCAAGTTGACTCGCTCTCGTGCAAAGTTGTGCATCACTTCAAACCGGGCCTGGAGATCTTGAATATATTCCTCAGACGATGAAGGAGCATCCGGAGGGCGGCCAAACAATAGATCACAAGGCAGACGAAGGTCACGACCGAAGAGCATCTGTGATGGAGAATAGCCGGTAGTCTCGTGGACAGCACTGCGGTAAGCCAGTAAAAAGAGTGGTAATTTCTTGTCCCAGTCCTGTTGGTTTCTGGAAACCACTAATGAGAGGTTATTAAGGATGGTTCGATTGAACCTCTCTACCATGCCGTCCGACTGGGGATGTAATGGCGTCGTTTGAGTTTTGTCAATGCCAAGTAGTTTGCATAGTTCTTTGATTACCGCCGACGTAAAATTCCTTCCCTGATCGGAATGTAACTGAAGAGGCATTCCGAACCTGGAAACCCAGTGCTACTGTGACAGCCTCTTGATCAGGAATAGGATACGCTTCAGGCCACTTGGTGAAGTAATCAATGACAACGAGTATGTATTTGTTGCCATCAGCAGTTCGTGGCAGAGGTCCCAAGATGTCAAAGGCGATACGTTCAAAAGGCGCCCCTACGTTGTAACGTTGCAGCTTGCCTCGGCTGCGTCTCTTCGGTCCTTTCCGACCTGCACAGGCATCGCAAGATCGGCACCACTTTTGCACGTCATCCTTTGCATTATTCCAGTAAAAGCGCTCACGAACTCTCTGTAAGGTCTTCATTATTCCAAAGTGACCTCCCGTAGGGCTGTT